CCTACTAATTTCTACACCCTTAATAAAGTATTTTTGTTTCTGTCCACTTGCAAGATAACTTGGACCCCACATTCAAAGTATGGGATTCTGGTGTATGGTTTATGTTAAAGATAAGGATTATCAGAATGAAAAAACAGATAGTTCTGAGGCGTGATCTCACTCTCCTTAAAGATTCAAAAATCCTCCAGGATACAACAGAACTCAAACTCTCTCAAAAACTAGATATAGAACTTTGACTTTGCATAGGAATTTATATTGATTGAAAAGCCACTACTTGTAGGGATGTATCCCTTCAGAAAGATACCATTTCAAAGAGGTACCTTTAGATTTCTAAAAGTTATACAATATTTAGACATGTTTTTTCAGATTAAAATTTAATAAATTAAATTAAAAATCCGAAAATAAAAAATAAATATTTTGGCAGTCAAGCCCCAAGGTGCCCAAGTGCCCATCTTTGACTATATATAAAGGGTAAGGCCCAATATATCTTAGGCTTCACTTTATTTATCTATTTGTTGATAACAAATAAGCCTTTATAAATTCCTTTAACTTCCCATATTCTCTTGATGTGGGACCTTAACATTTGCAAACTACTCAACAGTTTATGTGGCCTTGGGCTCTTCCACCTTAACAGCTAGCTTTTGTCATCTTGGGATTCAAGTTGCCTTACAATTGTACTGTATCCCTTGAACACACTTCTTACCCGATTAATAAAGTTTATTGCTGACAAAAAAATAAAAATAAAAATTTTATTTATAGTGTTTCAACTTTGTTCAAGTGTTGACACTTCTTACCCGATTGTTAACCCTGCTAAGTGTTAAAGTGTTGACAATTTCCTGGAAGCAGTGTGGGCACTTTTTATTCAAAAACTCCTCAAAACATCCTGCCAAGAAAAACTTGAAGTGGAAAAAAAGAAGTCATAAACCTTAAAAAAAAAAAAAAAGTTAATTTTCCAAATACTTCGCTAATTCCTATATATGTGAGTTTTTTTTTGTCAATTATATCAAAATCAAAAACAATGCAGAAAAAATACTGGAACCAAAAGCTCTAGAAGAGAACTTGAACTTACATACAAATTTTGTGACAAGGCAAAGAAGGTTCTTTATGAGGCAAAAGAGAGGTTTCCGAAGGAGCCTGCCATTTGGATTACTGCTGCAAAGTTGGATGAGGCAAACTCAAATTCTTATACAGCGACAATCATAACTCAGTTGGGTATCTTGGAGGGTATCATGGCCTTGGAGAAACAAGGATTGGTGATTAACGGGGAAGCTTGGATGAAAGAGGCTGAGACTGCTGAGAGAGCAGGACCAGTAGCAACTTGTCTATTGGTATTGGAGTGGAGGGAGTAGAGAAGATGAGAACCTGGGTTGCTGGTGCTGAAGAATGTACGAAGAGAGGCTCTATTGAGAATGCCAGAGCTATTTATGCCCATGCTCTTAAGGTGTTTCCGCAGAGAAGATTTTTTGGTTGGAAGCAGCTGGACTTGAGAAGAGCCACGGGACTTGGGAGTCCCTTGATGCTTTTCTGTCTAAAGCATTAGTTCATAGGACAGTTAATGAGGTTCTTTTGCTTTTGGATGAGAGGTTGCTTTATGGCGTATTGTATAAAGCTCGTGCTTTTTCTCTTAAAGTTCATCGTGCCTCAAATTCTGATTTTGAGAAGTTTAAGCTTGAGTGTAAGAATCATGAGCCTGAGGGAGGCATACTTCTTGCTAAGGCTCAAGAAACAGGAATTGGAATGAAAATCTGGATGAGTTCCGCCATTGTTGAGCGAAAGCGAGAGAACATGGAAAAAAGAAAGGAAGTTTCTGTACGAAGGATTAAAAGAATTTCCTTCATTCTGTAGATTGTGTGGTTGATGCTTGGGCAGCTGGAGGACGGCTTGGTGAATTGGAAAATGCTAAGAAGGTTTATGAGTCAGGTTTGGAGCATTGTCCCAGTCGTATACCTCTTTGGTTTTCTCTTGCGAATGTTGAAGACAAAATTGATGGAATAGCTAAAGCTTGTGCTGTTCTCACTCTTGAAAGGAAGAATAATCCACATCGCCCTGAACTATGGCTTGAAGCCGTTCGTACTGAGTTAATGCGTGGTAACAAGAAGGAAGCTGGTTTGTTGATGGAAAGGGCATCAGAGAAGTGTCCATATAGAGGTGCATTGTCGGCCGCAGCAATTGAGATGGTTCCCTGGCCGAAACGTGGCAGCAAGATTAAAGCTGCCTACACCCACATGTGGGGCGAATGCCCATGTCAGTGATGCCGAGGCCAAGTTATATTGGCACGATGATAAGGTGGATGAGGCTAGGTCGTGCCTCCATGAAACAGTGACACTCGATCCCCCTACTGGTGATTTTTGGGCATTGTACTACAAATTTGAACTTGAACATGGGACTGAGGGGAAGCAGAAGAATGTGTTGCTGCAGCACCATTGCTTGGTTAGAAATAAGAAGCAATTTCATATGATGTGGGGAACTTCCACTAATCAACAGAAACAATTTTGAAGGAAGTCAGGGTTGCACTGAGCAAGTAAGAGAGTGATGCTGCTGAAAGTAGTAAAAGCTAAAAACTGGTATTTGATGGCAAGAATAGAATAAATGTTGGAGCATATGACTGTTTGGAATTCTGAACTGTTAATTTGGTTGCATATGGTTGGATTACGTGTTGTAGTTTCTACATTTTATGATAGATTGTTCTACTCTTTCTGAGTTTCATCACAAACAAACAATTATATATGTGCTCATTTTAGATTGTGCATTTGTTTTCATTTCTTGATAGATTGTTCTACTCCATCTGATGAATTTCTTTTCATTTCATGATAGATTGTTCTACTCTGTCTGAATTTCATCACAAACAATTATATGTTCCGAAATCGTGTAGTGTTTTGTGAAAATCACTTGTATTCACCTCATCTAATCGTTTTTCTTCTCTGCATTGGCACTTAAATTAAATCCGGA